TTTTTAAAATGGAATGATCTACTTTTTGTTTCATAAGTAGGTAGAATATTAAATATATAAATAAATAAAATTTTAAATATATAAAGTATATGATCTTTTTATGTTCTAAACTTAACAATTTATGAAACAATTTTTAATATATATTAAAAGCTGACATACAGTAACAAAAGTATTTGAACGCTTACATTTACAATTTTTGATGAACGAAATATATGTTAATGGAATTTGTTTAAGACAATGAAAGGTGTATAGTAAGAGGAAAATCTCAAGATTATGTTAGCAAAATTTGAAAATGATTCACCAATTTGTGTAGTAGATATAACACATTTATTATAAACATGCACCATTAGTTACAAAAGTATTCGAACGCTGATACGTTCTTGATAGTTTTTAAGCACTTTAGCCAGAAATATAAACACAGATACTAAGTGAGAGCATTTTCACGTTCAATTGATGTTAAGTTATCGTTTCATTAATAGTAAAATAAAAATCTGCGGTAAAATATTCAAAATGATATTCAATATGAAAGAATCTGAAACAGAAAAGTTTGAATGAGAAATTATCTTTCAGTTACATAAGGATGAAAAATCATAATGAGATAGCAAAAACCGTAAACAGAAATAAATATACATTACATCATAAAGAAATCAAAAAATGAAGGAAGAATTATAATATAAAGCTCATTCAGATCAACCAAGAAAACTAACTGAAAGTGAAGAAAAAATTATTATCCGTGAAAGAAAAAGAAATTCTATTATATCTGCACCTTTTCAAATATGATATTAGAAATGTTTGACAAAAATGTTCATCCTCAATTATGTTGACGAGTCTTATGAAATAATAATTTTTATAGTAAAGTACCAAGAAGAAAGCCATAGATTAATAAGCAAAATCAAAAGGAGAGACTTTTTGATTTTTGCAAAAATATTTGTAATAAAAAATAATACTTTTTGAGAAAAAATGATACTTTCTGATGAGTCTAAGTTTAATATTTTTAACTTGATGTTGTATGCAGAAAATTTTGTATGGAGAAAACCAAATACAGAATTGGATATCAAAAATGTATGCCAACAACAATGAACAATAAAACAATAAAACATAGTGGTTCAATGTGGGGCTATATGGCAATTAATGGTACAGGAAATTTAGTATTTATTAATGGAATATTCGATAAATAGAAATATCTAAATATTTTAATGAACAATCCCAAAGATAGTGCCGAAAAATTGGGATTGTTAGAAGACTTTTACTTTCAACAGGATAACGATCTTAAACATACAGTGCAAATCCTGAAATAAGCCAATAATTAAATAAATTTCAAATATTTTCAAAGCAGATACTTAATAAAGAAAAAATTATAGAAATATTACAGAAGTATTACAATTCTTTTTTCAATTCATGCATATCAAAATCAAAAATCTGCAGAAAACTTGATCATAGAAAACAACATATTAATAAAAAAATGAATTAAAAAATATTCTTATAATATTCCTATAATTAAAATTATTCTTATATGATTCACCATTATTCATATTTTCATATTTTCGATGATTAGTACAAATATATAAATTATTATTGAAAAAAGAATAGGAAAAAATTAATAATAATTATTTAGAGTAAATAATTCGTTACGAATATAAATAATTCATCAAGAACATATTATATTAATCTCAAAATAGATATCATTTTATTATATTTCCATTTTGTTTCATCTAATAAAAATTAATTGTTTAGATTTTAATGAATGATTTTGTATTGAGTCATATTGAAAACATATAATACAAGATAAATCACTATAAGAAATAAAGTTTTAAATATAACACGGATTTAATATGAAAATATAAGATAAATTCTTATATCTGCAATTGTTTATAATAATTATATTATGAAGATTTTTGATATACATTCTATTAATTTATTAATTAAATTTTTTTTATATCCATTGTCTTAATAATATCAAAATAATTATTTTTGATTTATTTTTCAATGTTTTCTTATATATTTTTTATCTAAATGAAAAAAAATAAAATTTGTATTTGTGCTAGTTATAAATTAATATTATTTTTCGATTTTTTTAAAATTTCTCAATAATTTTCATGTAATTTAGAATCAATATTCTGTTGCAAAATAAATAAATCTCGTATATTCATTTTTTAAATTGATTCTATTATATTATAAGTAAAATACTCACAAATTTTCTTTCTGTCAATATGTTTTCAATAAATTGTAAATTACATACACAAATTATAACACACAACAAATATTATGATATATATAATATCAAACCTCTTTTGTATTAAACAAAAAAGAAAATTTTTTTCCCATTTTCTTAATTCTAAAAAAATTGTTTTGATTAAAAAAAAATACGTATTAATTTTAGTTTCTTTTCAAATTTGTTGTTTTGTAGATATTTTTTTTTATTAGAAATCAATTAATCATTAAACACTAGAGTTTATACTCATATAAATACATTTATTTTCATTTTATCAGTAATATTTTAAGATTTATAAAGAAAAGAAGAAAAGATATATTTAGAGGACAATTTATAATTTTTATTCGATTTGTATGTAACAAATACAAATTATATTTTTTTAATTATATTGCGCAGTAAAACCAATGTCGCAATTCAAGATTTAAAATATAACATAATATTTTTAAATGTGTTTCTTTTTCTGCATGTATCATATAATCTCATTTATAAAAATTTTTGATATTTAAAACTGCTTTTCAAAAATATACATATAAATGCATTATATGGAATGGTATAAAGAGTGTAATAAAATAAAAAAAATATGATTTTAAAAAATAATATTTAATAACATAATAATAGAATCTAATAATAGAGAATATTTGTTAATTTATTTCCCACATAAAAGTAAATAAATTTTTATTAGATTCTTTTTTATAAATGTTTTAATTTTTATATTAAGAACGAACTTTAACTATACGTACGCTTATCATATTAAGAAATAATAATCAAAATAAATGAAAATCTTTCGAAAAATGAAGTCATTACAGTTAAATTAGAATATTTAAAACTTTAAAGAATTATAAATGGTTAAATTAAGATAAAATAGAAAATGTAATACAAGATAGATTTTAATAACATAAGATAGATAAAATAATTACAATATTTATAATTGTGTAAGAAATGTTTTTTTTACGATTTTACTTCGAATTCAATTTTTTTCAAATTTTTCAAGTTCTGACAAAGAAAAAATGATAAAGATAAAAATCATGTTATTATATGGTTACTTTAAATGTAACTATTCTCATATATATCGTTTTTATTTGAAATTTCGTTTGTTTTTTGATTATTTGTCAAAATATCTATAAGCCGCGTTAATATAGTTCCTGTGGACTGTATACCAGCTACCGCTGGACGCTGAATTATTGGAGAGTAGTGTTTCCCACGAAATGTATAAGATATATAATATATAATATATAAGATCGTGTCCGACAGTCGGAGCACGATTCTATTCAATTCATTCGTTGACTATGATTTGAACTGTTTGAAGGTTTATTCTGTAGCGTCAATTAGCCAAGAAACTGTCTTAACTTGACTCTCTTCCTAGCTAATTGAGAGTGTTCTAATTCCGAGTGGGATATGCCAATGACCAATAACATCGCGGACAGTGTCTGATTTGCAGTTGTCCAAGAATTGAGAAAACAATGCCTGATCAATGGTTTGTACACAAAACATCGCACGGTTACAGACATGTGCCTTTCCTAATAGACCTAAACAATGAATGGTGTTCGCACGCAAAGTCAACAGTGTGACTCGTGAATCGACTCAGATTGTGCCGTATCAAAACACGGCCGTGGGAACGGAAAGTACCTTGACAGAGAACTTTCCTGAAAAATTGTTTGTTTATAGTTCGCGAGCTATAAACGCTCGAGAACAATATTATTCAATATTTGTCAAAATGATATTACATTTCAATATAATTATTGTTTCAAATTAATAAATGAAGTAAGAAGATTATTACTAAAAGGAAGATTAAAACTAATAAGCTATATTCAAACAAAAAGATATATATAAATAATACTATAATAATATAAATAATACTATAAATAAATACTACGATGAATCACAATAAAGTGAAATAAATCAAATTGCTCGAAAATAATGAATGTTTAATATTTATTTTGTTACATATTTAAGTAATCACTTAAAGTGAAACAAATCAAATTGCTCGAAAATAATGAATGTTTAATATTTATTTTGTTACATATTTAAGTAATCACTTAATATAATACGTAAAAATTCAGAATCTTGTTTATATATAATAATGTTTCTATAAATGAGAGATCATATAGTGTTTATATTATTTATATTACGACAATTTTATTTACAATGTCATTTTGTAATTTATACATATATTTGCGATTATAAAATTGTATAGTATGTAATAGTGTAATAGTGTAAAAATAATATTTTTGAGAATATGATCCTTAATTTTTATCGTTAGCAATTCCGGAAATGAGATTTTTTTCTACTATTTCTTAATTCGTATTCCTGTAGACCATGAATTGTAGAATCATGAATTTGATTATTAATATTTTGCATAAGATAAGAAAACACTTAATAATTATTCTAAAGCAATTTTAAAATGTACAAAAATGTTAATTGAAAGTTATCTTTTGTATTTGAAGCGAATTATATTTTCGTTAAATAAAACAAGCTAAAAACAATGTCAATTGGTGATGTAAATAAAGATGAAGATAGATATTTAAGAGAAATTTAAATGATATATAATTACATAAATAAGTCTGAATAAAAATAAATTCTATAATTTAAAAATAAATTCTATAATTTTAAAGATCTTTGAAAAAATCGCATAAAAATAAATATATGTAAAAGAGCGAATATCAAATCGCTTTTTTTTCAACAATCTTCTTATTATTTTCTTGTTTACAAATTATCATAAAATGCTATGATATAAAATAGAAATACGAATCATGATTTTAGCAGTAATAAAACATCAATTTTCAGAAATTTAACTTAAAGGCTTTATCATATTTGATGGACTTATTTGTACTAATATAATTAAATAAGTTATTAAATTACCAAAAAACTGAAAAAGAAATTGTAATTAAATTTTTAATTGAATAATTAATTTAGTTATTTATTTAATTTAGTTATATATAACTTACCATTGTTGATAATTTATTATTAAGAATAAAATAATCACCAGCAGTAAATTTTAAAGGATGAAGAAGGAGTTGTAATGAAAATTGTTGTATCTGAAATTTTTGCTTATTAACTCTTATTTCTTGATATATTAAAATATTAATTATTCTCTATAATTAATAATATATAGCAATCATTTTTTGCAAGTATTTTAAAAACTAAGGATTTATATGTATGAAGAAGAAATGTTTTTTTAATCTCGTTCTCTATTAATTTATTAAAAAATAATCAAAATCGGAAAAAACATAGTTTTTTTATGATTTTTTTATCTATTTTGAGTAATTTATTTCTTAACACAATTGAGAGTAAGTTTCATTCCTCGAATTATTCTAAAAAATCTTCGATATTAAAAAATTTTATCCATAAGCATCTCCAATAGCATATATCAGTATATAACAGTTTTTAAAAAAACAACAGAATTGATCTTAAGTATAATCTTCAAATATTTTTGTTGTATAATATTTTAAAAATAAAAATCTCAAAGCAACGATGAATCGCAAGTATATCATTCTGTTGGAAAAAGAATTAAATTTTTATGCTCTAAACCTAAACTATTCTCTAAACTAAAAATCCATTTTATTTATAAAATGCTTGTTTAGAATATTTTTTTTTACACAATTTTATTTTACAAGTTACATTTTTATTTGTTAAAATAATTTAAAAAATCAAATGTTTATTTATATAAATATTTTTTTTTACAGAATATTAAAGTCTGCATATTTATTTTTTAAAAAAGTTTAAGCATTATTACTTATTGGAAATTGAAATCTGCGAGGAAAATTCAACATATTCAAGCACTTGAATCAGGTGATTATTTTGTTTTTAGATTGCAAAGAAATTCACAATTCCAGAATTTATATTTCAGATGTATAATATTATCTGGAAATTGTTTGTCCTAAAAATCATATTAATTTGGTACTAATCTTGTACGCAATAATTTTTCAATATATTGCGATATATTTCATAAGTTTAAAAAGTTTTTTCTATCAATAATATACAATATTTAATGCAGACTTCAAAATAAAAAAATTTCAATCAAAAATAAAAAAGTTCATAATTAAGCATTTTATGTATAAAGTGATAAATAAATTTAAATGAGCATAAAAATTTAACATCTTTTTTGAAGAGAATAATACATTTGCAATCAATGTTTCTTTTATGAAACTTTATTTTACACTTTGATAAGTATATCATGCAATAAAAAAATAATTTACTTTTAAAAATCGAAATCAATTTTATAATTATATTTTTAACGGATTTCCACCGATACTAAGATATAAAATAATATCTCTTTGTTAAATAAATTTTCAACATTTTCTATAAGAATTCAATGATATAGTTATTTTGCGAATAATTTAAAAGTCAAAAATCATCATTGATTATTAATATAAAGAAAACATTCAAAATAATGATTTTTATAATATATTTCAAGATTATGAAAATCAGAGAAACATAAGAAAACATAAAGAAATCTTTGGAGAAAATAAATTTTTGTTATAATAAATTTTAAATATTAAATAAATATGAACATTACCTCGTCTCTAATAGAATTATCCAAATAGCGAAATTGTAATTTTCGAAGCAAATGTGCTGTTACTTCAACCTATAAAATTTTAATATTATATGCATATCCATTTGATAAGTCTTCTTTTTTTGATAAAATATATAATTTCACCTCACGATAGAAATTAGTACAATGATTATTCACAAGAATAATTCTTGTAGAATGTATGAAAACCCATATGAAAAATGCTATAAATCTTTTATCTAATATTTTTGACAGACTTGTTGATATTAAATAAAAATACATGTTATAAAATGTATTCAATATTAATGAAAATTGCATTATTAAATCTAATAAAATTTGGTAAGTATATGCTTGGTTAAGTTCATGTGAAAGTTTAAAAATCTCAAAATGAATATGCCTATAATAGAAAAAGAAAAGAAATAGATTAATAGGAAATTAATATTATCATTTATATAATTTATTAGTAAAATTTAGTCTAATCTATTAATAGAGGAAAAAGAGATAGCTTCAGATATTTGAAATACATAAATAATAAATAATCTATAAATTTTAAGAGACAACGAAATTCAAAGAGTGATATCATCCATATCATGGCTGACTCAACAGCAACTAATATCTCATATTTAAGAAAATTTATAATAAACATATGCTCATCAATTCATCGTATCTTTGTATTTATTAACCTAGCTTGAAAAATTTTCCTCTATTTTATATTAGGAGACTTTTTAAGTCAGGAGGCTGATCACAATTTTATTGCCTATTATGGTCTATTGGAAAATCATAATCCTAATTAAACTGGAAGAGATTTTTTTTAGTACATGAATCGATAAAAAATAAGAGAAGAGAAATCTAATTAACATTTCGTTATGAACATGTACTTTGATCGAACTTAGATATGATTACTTAGATATGACTAATAAATAATTTTTTCTGTAATGCATTATGTTGTTGTCAAAACCATATCACTATATTGTAATATAGTTTACTTATTGTTAAGAAAATATATCATATGTTACAAACATTCACTTTTTAATACACATCTATCAAGCTTCCATCTGCTAACATAATAAATGCGAATAAATGATAACAATTGTTCAAGACTGTTAAAAGGTTTAAAGGAGATTATATGAAATTATATGAAATTATTGTATAAAAAAGTAATTGAAAGATTTCATTTTTTGAATTGTTATTTAATTTAATACGATAAGTAAAAAATCGATATCATTAAATAAATCATGATTCAAAATACAAATACTGATGTATCAAAATCGGATGATTTATACTATTTCAAATCTAAATTTCTAAATCTCAAGATATTTAATTTTAATTTTTGATATTTGAAACTTTTAATAACTAAATGTATTTAATTGATTTCATCAAATATTTTTACTATTAATTTGTATGAAATTAAATATGAAAAAAATTTAATTAAATTTTTGAATTTTAAAATATATTGAATTGCTATACCTAAAATCAATAATAATAATGTCACTTTCAGAAAGAAAAAAATTGATAATATTATTTAATTCGCTTGACATTATATATTAATTAAGTAATTTTAAACACAGATAATCAAAATATTAAGAATATCTGAAGTTATTTAGCATCTGAGGCTATTCGTCTTCTCCCTATACTAAATAACATTACAAAATTATAATATAATAATATAAAATATAAGTTGCATTATTATAAAATTATCGAAACCTAAAATACCTACCTTGTAACTTGAAGAAGATGTCGAACAAAATGTTCTCTGCTATAATAATCTATTAAAATTTTAAATTTACGTGCAATATGTGATTGCATTTTATATTTTATATTAATATCATTTGTATTTGACAGTTGATACATTTCTTTTATCAATTTATTCATGTTAAATAATTTCTCCTGTAAAATACTTCACAAAAATTCAAATAACATGATTTTTAAAGAAATATAATATTAATAATTATAAAATTATTTATAATTTTCATAAGAATGAAAGAAAAACTGAAAGTATCTTATATATTTTATTATTATATTTTTATAATATAATATGCAAGAAAAATGAGAAAAAAAAATGAACAAAAATTTTTTTCTTCTTAATCTGAAAAAAAAAATGTTTTTTTAAAATTGCATTTTACAGCATGGAAAAATATAAATTCCATATACAATTTTAATATGATTATATCTACTTAATTTTTCTTTATTTTTGATTACTGACTTCTAATTATTGATAATAAACGAACTAGTAATTAACTAATTATTAATTAAATAATTTGGGCTTGATCTAAATTATAAATTCATTTTCAAATCCGGATCGATTAAATATTTCTTAGATTCATATTATAATTCTGTGTATACTATCAATTTCTTCTCGACTCTTCACTTTCAATTCAATCATATCATCGAGTATGCATATTTGAGATCGATCACAGTTTTAAGTAAATTTTTTTCTTAAGAAATGTGACAAAAATCTTTAAAAATTATTTTAATCAGCAATTCTGTATTATAACAATATTAAATAATAACATTTAATGCAATACAATTTTATTATGGTTACTATTTTGAAAATGTTTCTATTTATTTATTTAATTTATAATAAATAAAATAAAATGTAATAATTAAATAATTTCCGATATTTTTTTTTATAATTTCTATCACTATATCGTGAATGTAAATTATATAAGCAATTGTTGACTTTTACTAATTAATAGAATTTCATCTATAAATTAAAAAATTCATCATTTAATTTTATCTATTTGTTATAAGTTTTGTCTATATCTATATGCATCGATGAAAAATTAAAAAAAAAAAAATTATTTATGTATCTTAATATAATAAGTATATTAAGAAAACAACAATTTTTCAATTATTGTTTCATTCTTGTAAGAATTTTAATATATAGATATATTTATAATTCATAGTAGTAATGCATAAGCAAGTTTGGAAAAAAGAAATATTAATAAAGTTAAAGTTATTATGAAAATCAATTTTTTTTAAATTTATTAATTTTATAATTCGGCATTAATTGTTAATAATATTATTATAAATTATGAAAAATTTAAAAATATATCATTATATATATTTAAAGAAATATGATCTTAAATTCAGAAATATATCCATTTCTTTATTTAATCAATTTTAAGTTCATCAATATTCTTTTTTTTGTATAATTTACCTTATAAATATCACAAAAGTAAAAATTCCCAAACACATAATTACTACTGGTATATATATAAAAATATTTAAATCTAATTTTCTTTTTTTGATATTAACATACCAATAGATATTTAACAAGATAATAATTATTGTTATTATTATGAATATAATTAATTTTTGTGCAATTTGGGAGAAAGTTTTTCTATAATTTTTCTCAATTCCAAATGATTCTAAACTATTATCTATTTGTTCACATCTTGCAATAATTTTCTTCGAACACTATAAACATATATATATAAAATATATATATATAATATTATAAAATATGAAAATATTAAAAAATAAAAAAATATATATATTTGCATATAAAGAGTTAATATATTCGTGTCATTTTATAAATTGTTTGAAAAATATCAGAATATCTATTAATTGAAGATTGTTGAAATTGAAATAATTTCAATAATATTTTTCATTATAAAAACTTAATGAGATTCGTTAACGAAATATTAATAAAAACTGATCATACAATCTAATCATGTAACCTGATCGAGCTGTGACAATAATATTATGTACAGCCGGGACAACCGAATATGAACAAATTTAAGCAACATATGTCAAAGAGAATATATTGAATATTATAATTTATTCAGTGTTCATGATATCATTCAATTATATTATATATTCATCAATATTATATCAATAATACATTTATTTATCAATAAAAAAATATTTCTTATATTCGATATACTTTCTACATACATATGTTGTTTATATAAGTAATATAAACAAATTTCTCGAAAATTAATACTATATAATAGAAATATATATATGTATTGTATTATACGTATAGAAAAAAATTTTCAAAATGTTGATTTTTATAATATTCAAAATCATTATTAGAAAAAAATCTTTTTTTTTTTAGATAAATAGCAAAAAATTATACATTATTTTTTTATTAAAGAAGAAATTTTCTTTAAGAATAAAAATCTTTTTAAAACATAATATATTTTAAAAATTTTTCATTGATAATATTATATTTCTAAATTTGATTCAAATGTATATTTGCATTTCAGGCCGAATGTATAAATGCTTATCTAAATTTTTATAAATTTATCTTAAACGAAGAATATGTAAAATATGTGAAAAATAAAAAATAAGTCAGATAAAAAATCAGTAAAGTCAAATATAATTTGCAGTTCATTTTATAATAATTATATTATTATATAATTTACTCTGAGATTTTATTTCTTAGAATTAGCAAAATTAAAAATAACATTAAAGCAAATATTACGCTATATAAAGATAAATGCTTTTTTTAGTATTTTTGGTCTTTCATTTAATTATTTTATAACCATGTTACTGTATATAATTATAATATATATATAATTAATTTTAAAAATACTACTCTATTTAAAATTCCAAGAACTATAAAAATCAGAACGCATATAATATAATTGTATGTATATATTTTTTTGTATGTATATAATATATTGTAATTGTATAATATATTTTATAATCGATTTTAAACATCTAAATGTTATCTTCATTAATATTAATGAGAAAAAAATTATAATAAATAAAATATAATATAAATGATCACGATATTTGCTATCAGTTATTATAACATTGATCATTGTAATTTTGTTTGTTTAAGAATTCTTTTATATTTTATTAATTCTATAAATTTGAATGCATTTGGTTCGAAATATTTAAAAATCGCCTTAATCTATAAAAAAATAATTTTTTTATTAATTTCCATATTCATTACGTTTATATTCGTATCTTAATTATCTGCTATATGTGTTTATATTACCATAAGCATTTGTTCATTCAACTGACTTTGCATATGCAGTCATGAATATAAAAAAGTTTATAATAATAGTAATAATAATCTTTTTTTGTAAGTATTTCGAAAATTAAGGCTGAATGGTGGTCATAAGATAAGAAAACGTTGTTTCTATGACAAAAACAATCAAAATTGGAGAAACTTTTATAAATAATTACCAAAGAATTGTACAATTTTATTTTCTAAAAATTATTATAAACAGAAGATTTTTCGTAACAAAACTATTTAAAAACAAATTACGAAAAAAAATTGTATAAATTCCATAGAATTGAAAATATCATTCAAAAGATATTTATTGAAAAAATTAAGATTAAAAATGTAAATGTAGAGATTTCTTCTTCATTCTAAATAAATTCAAACTAATACAACTTTCTTTATTGAATTATAATAATATATATATATATTTAAATATCAGTAACATTTGGAGAAAAATTAGCGCTTCTTTAATTATATACGCTAGGATAAGCAAAATAATTTTATAATAAAATTATTCTGAAATATTTCAGCTAAGGCACGATGTTTGTAATTTTTTATGAAATGTAATTCGATAATACTATACTTTAAAGTAATAAATTAATAATAATACTAATTATAAAATACAATAATTTTTTAAATTTTCTCTTCGTTATATTTAGATTATTAAAATTGATTCAATATTAATATATTAGTGTAGTAATTTATAATTACGATTAAATAATCATGATTAAAACTAACTACATCTACTTTATCTACTAATATCTACTATAACATCTTCAAGTCGAATTGGATTTGAAGACCTTAAAATGATTTTTGCAAATTCATTTTAAAAGAAAGAGAAAAAATACATATGAATTTATTTGATTTTACTTCGAGATTTAAATTAAAGAATTAATAGGAATAGCAATAAACACGAAAATTCATAAAAATTGGAATGTTAAAGTGAATATTATTTATACATACATATATATCAACTAAAAATAAAAATTTTTTTTCATTAATTTTATTTTTTTAATTACCTTATTATCATATTATTTGTTATATATTATTATAGTTTCAAAAATACTTACTTTTGTATTCATCATTCCAAAAATTATAAATATTATACCACATATAATGGTAATAAATGAAATCGTTTTAAAACTGAGCTCTTCATATGCAAGCCAATTTTTACAATTTTGGTTTATTATTGCATTTAAAAATGCAGCATATAAAGTGACGCATATGGAACCATATATTATACTCCAGCTATATCGTAATCGTTTTTTCGATTCAAATACACGTAGACCAAATATTTCATTAATGATAATAATATGTATTAACGAAGCATATTGAGTTTTTGGTGTCCAAGTTAAGATTTTCGTTTTAAATATGTCTAAAAATATATATTAGAATTCTAATAAATAAATGTAATAACAATGATGATCTACGACAAATAATAATTTCCAGAGATTTTTATAAAAATATATAAATATATTATATAAATTATAATTTTATAAGAATAATTTTATAATATATAGATTATATAAATTTAATATAGTATAATTAATTATACAATATAATATAAATATAATACAATCAAATAATTAATACAAATATAATACAAATAAATAGTAACAAAAAATTGAATGCATATGGAATTCTAACATAAATAATATTTCATTGAATATTTTTCTAAATTTTAGAATTTTAATACAGGATAAAAATAAAGTACATTGTGTTATATAAGATATTTTAGCTTTTCACATTCACTTTTATAATCTTCTTATTATTATTTTGATAGAAATTATTTTCGTTTATTCAATTTTGCATCATAACATTTTTAAAATCAATAATTATAAATAAAAATTTTTTAATATTAATTTCCAAAATAGAAATTATTCTTTATTTAATTTTAATAATCTATCTAGTTTTTTCAAAAACAAATATTAAAAAATATTTTTAAAATTTCAAAATGAAACTATTATTACAAACTGTAAAAAATACTGTTATTTTTCGATTTAAAAGTAGTTTATATATTATGTAATAAATTGTTTCAAAACTTGTGATTAATCAATCAGTAATACAAAAAATTCGAATATTGCAATAATATTTCTAAATCTTTTTGGAAAATGAAGAAAATTGGTAAGATATATGTAAATATATATTTCTAAAGTTATAACATAGCTAATGGAAAGCTATATTGAAAAAAAAAATTAATAAATGAATAGCTCAAGGAACAATAAAAGAATTTAATAATTGAAAAAAGAAAAGAGCTTACTCTTGCAAAGAAAAATACAAATATCCATTTGCAAAAAAATATAATAGCTTTATCAAACAATGAAAAAACATAATTTGATTAAATAAATCTAAAATTAATCAATTTTCATTAAATACATCATAATATTAGAAAAAAAAATGAATTTCTGTTAATATATTAAATTAAACAAGTAAATTAATCTAATGGCAGCTTATAATATAAAAACAAAAATCAGATTGAGGAAATGATGAACCAATATATTTATAAAGATATTTTAGAAGAAAACTTTCAAGTTGAAAACATAACAATATTAGATTATATTTCAACATGACAATGATTCAAAATATTGTATGAAAAAAGATGTGAAAAATTGATTTTAATCATTTCAGAATGATTCTATTGAGATCTATTGAAAATAATTTTCCAGACTTGAATCTATCAATTTACACAGTCAAATTTTTCCTAAATTATATAAATTAAGATACAATATTTTTATAAATTAATATGAAAACAATGAATCAATGTACTTATTGTGATTTGAAACGAAGGACTTCTTTTAGAAAAATATTTCTTTATTAAAAAAAAAATTTTTTCATGAAAAGAAATTTTATATGTATTTATAATTTAATATTTACTTACCTTTCATATTTTTCTTAATTCTCTTCATATAACCAATTATATTTATTTATTCTAATAATTTTCATTTTTTTACTTATTTATAATATTCTTTTAACTTTTTTTTTTAAATTGGCATATACTATCATAATATATAAAATGAATAAGCAAATCTCCTTGTCTACTACCGTCATAACCTATTTTGAATTTCATTTATGACTAATGCGTTTAAAGATAATCGCGATTTTATCTAAAACTTAGAATTATAGATTTTCAACACAATTTTTCCTTGAGGCTAATTGAAAATCGTATATGTCATTTTATTATTTATAAAAGTAAAAATTAAAATGAAAAATATAATTTTCAATTTCAATTGTCTAATGTTTTTTCAATTGTTTTTCAAGATTAAGCAACAATTGTATGTGTTTTATATTATTTATAATATTAATAAAAAATTTCATTGAATATTTCTTATTAGAAATGTAATATTCATTATATTACATTTTCATTATATGAAAATATGTAGGACACAATTATAAGACACACAAATTTAAGTTTAATTTTTTCGTTTTCAATCTATAAAAATTCATATTTTTTGTATGTTTCGATACTTTTATATTTGATAGTGTTTTAAGCATAAATTAAATTATAACTCATTTGTAGAATATTTGCTGATTTTGTGTTTAATTTCCTTTATTTCAAAGTTTTATTAAATATAATCATTTTTTTTCCTAATGAAATATTGTTAATTATAGTGTTTTATTTTCATATCTTTGTAATATATTAATGTTTTTATTTATACTACCTCAAAATTATAAATTATGAGACTATATAGATTTTATATAGAAATTTTATCTTTATGGGAACATGTTTTTTATAAAAAAATTTTTTTGCAATTATAATTAAACATCGACAATTATTGCTCTGTTAAGAATCATAAATTGTTAAATTAAAATATAAGATAAAGAAATAAAATACGATTCTAATACATCACACCAATGATTTTAGAAACATTATTACAATTTCAAAATCTTTATTTGTAATTATATAAGAAATACTTTTTAGAAATACTTTTTACTTCAAACTTCATTCTTCACAAACTTTTAAAATTAGGAAGAAAAAAAGAATAAAGATATAAATCATATCGTTATGTTCTATAACTATTCTTCTTTCTATCTATTATATTTCATTTCTGTTTTTTTGATTATTCGTCGCAAGAGTGATATTAGGTTATACTATATTTTCAATATATTTATTAATTTTCGAATTATTCGATAAAAAAATAAGATCACCATTCCAGAATTGAAAGATTAAAGAAAGATTAAAGTGTATAAATAAAAAGACATGATAAGAGCTTATATAAGTAGATGAAATCTGATTTTAAATAATTCTATAAAAACTACTATAATGCATTACAATAGAATGAAAAAATAAAAGTTAAATTGCTCGAAAATAAGAAATGCTTAATATTTATTTTATTATCTTATTATAATCACATTTAAATAAACATTATTTAATATAATATAAATAACATAAATAACAGATGAAATTAAACATTTAGAATTTTATTTCTATATAAAAATGTTTTCATAATAGTAGATGTTACATATCTATATATCTATATATATCTGCTATTTTATAATTGAATGATATGCGTTTTTAAAATACATAACACGATCCATAATTTTTAATTTTTAATTTCAGAAATGAGATTTTATTCTCTATATCACAATTTGTAGTTTTTAAAAATTACATATTATAAATTATAAATTTGACTGATAATATTTTGTATATTATTATTCATAACAATATTTAAGAAATATTTTTAAAGATTAGTTTTAGATTTTAAAAACCAAAATATTTTAAAATTAGTGTACGAAGCTGTCAGTTGTAATTTATTTATTGTGTTCAAAGTAATTTAAATTTTTGTTTGAATTTTCGTTGAAACAATGTGAACTGGCAATAGAGATAGAGATTTAAGAAAAATTTAAATTATTTTATTCATAATTTAATGAGTTTCAATAAACATTTTTATATATGAATTTTTTTTATTTCTGGAACATTTTTGGCCTTAAAAATCTTCTTTGAGAAAATCGTAATAAATGTATGAAATCAAATATCAAATCGATTTTTTTCTTCGAACTTTATTATTTTTTATTACTTATTTATAAATTACAAGAATATGTTATGAAATGTAATAATTATATATAATGATTTTAATAGTACAATACAAATAAAATACATTTTAATACAAATAAAATAATAAATTATTTTTCAAAGAGTTTTGTTTACTATCAAAACAATGAATATATTTATACTAATACAATAAAATAATTTTCTTCAAAAAATCTGAAAAAAAAGATCAAATTCTTAAATAAATTCTCATTCATTCAACTTATCAGTGTTGATAACTTATGTTATATTGTTAAGTATATAACCGCCAGCAGTAAATTTTAAAGGATAAAGAAAGAGTTAATGATGATTGATAATGATTATTATTTATATTTATTTATAATGATATATTAATTATAGTTTAGTTATAATTTAGTCAAGATTCAATTTTTTGCATATTGTGACTCTGATTGGACAGGAAATATAGATATTAGAAAGAGCATTGAATGAATTTGTTATTTGAATAGTCCTATAGCATAATTGTTATGCAACTGAGGCGAAATTTATAGCCTTGTGCTTGGCAACGAAAGAAGTTACATGGTTACGATAGATTTTTGGCGGAATTAAATTGTTTTCAAAATTTGCCAATACCGATTTATTGTGATAACCAAGCTGCAATTATTTTAGTAAATCCAGAGTCATGTGAAAGATCTAAACATAGATACGCTACTAAATATAATATAGATAGTATTATTTTACTTGCCAAAAATTATAGAATAGAATTAAATACATATTAAATATGTTAAAACTAATAAATAATTAACTGATGCGTTTATGAAAGCATTACCGAAGCAAAAATTTCAGAGTTTATTATCTCAAAGTAGTTATTTAAATTAAAAATATAAATATGATTTATCCGACATGAATGTATAATTTTATTTTATTATTATTTTAAAAATATTCATCGAATGGAAATGTTTGCTGATTGCTGTTGAGACTGGTAGAGCTGGAAAATGTCGTTTCAAGACCATGTTAACATTCCAAACATGCCGAAGTGTTTTTAATAAATATATAATGCGAAAAATTCTTCAAATTCTTTTCTCAAAAGTGGCATTGTCTTCGCATCCTGTTTAATATCCTAACAATTAATTAATTAAAAAATTAATTGATGAAAGAATAGCCAAAAATTAATATTAATTATTTATAGAAAATAATTCATAGCATGCTAAAACCACATTATATGAACCACAATAATATGATAGATAGATAAATTTATTAATTATCTATTATCTTATCTTTACTAATCTATTAATTTATTAATTTTTTATAAATTTCTAATTATGCATTTAATAATTATTTGAAAAAACAATTTATTTTTTAATATTTTATTATATTTTTATATGAATGTTTCTACTATTTTTCTTGATAATATTACATGTATGCTTCGAATCGATATTCTGTCGCAAAGAAATAAATTTCATCATTTAATAATCATTTTTTTAATTGATTTTTTTATATATTAAAACAAAATGTTCATAAATTGATAAGCAATCTTTTACTAATTTCAAATGGTTTTTATATTAATTGGAAGATTTAAAATATTTTTTATAAATTATTAATTATTTATATATTATTATTATAAATTATTTTTACAAATTTTTGATATTTAAAAAAATATATTTATTGTTTTTTTATATTATATTAATATAAAAAATTTTTTACATTAATATACATTAATATTTGCTGTTTTTTTAAAAACGTGTATATAAATGTAATACAAAAATAAAAGAATTGTAATTTAAAAATTAAATTTGGAAGACAGTAAAATATCAAAAATACTTTTTATGAATATATATTTTAAATTCTTAATTTACATTAAAAATAAATTTTAAATATATGTACGAGTATCATATTAAAAATAATAAGAATGATTTTAAAAATAAAAGAATTATGTATATTCATTTTTTAATAAAAAATTGGCAAAAAAGAAAAAAAAATTTGATATATGTTAATTTATTTTCTATGGCGAATAAATGTTCTCATTGATTCATACTGAAAGAAATGAAAAAATATCTTTATATAATAAAATGCATTTTACATTTTTGAATTGCATTATTCAAAAATTTTTTTTTTGATTTTTGATCTCTTAATATCATACTGTATACATTTATCAACAATCAGTTGTTAATTTATTCCTACAATTATATCCATATGATCTATCTTAATAAACTTAGTAAGTTTAATAACAATATAAAATTGCAGTTATAATACATTTTTAAAGAATTAATATATTGAATTCGTTAGAACAATAAAATAACATGTAATAAATAGATTTATAATATAATGGATTTTTACATGTTTTATGAATATGTTCAATAAAGATTTTGGATTTATTAATTAAAATGTTATTTGTTAAAAATATTCATAAAAAATATATTTATGACTAAAAAATTTTGATCACTTATAATTTTCATATTTTTTTGTATTTTTTAATAAAATTTAATATTTTGAACTAAATACTAATATTTAATCAATAATAATTATTAATAATTAATATAAATAAATATAATATATATTTATAATTTATCTTATTTTACATATAAAAAATATAAGATAAAATTAGATTGAAAACTTAATATCTTTAAAATAATTAATTTCATTTTGAATATTTATAATAACATTTAACCATCATTACATTCTAAATTCATTTCTTTGCACATTTCTTGCTTAGTTTCATTGTAATTTTCAATTGTTTAACATTCATTTATAAAAAATTATTTGTAATTGTCTTTTTCAACTTTTCAAAGAATTACCTTAATTTTTAAAAAAAGTCCGAAAAAATTGTTCAAGCTAGGCAAATATTATACTTAGCATAGCATCGTATTATTAATACGGAAGATTTTTAAAAAATGAGATATATTTATTAAATAATTAATGAACCATAAAAAAAAATGAAAAACTATTTCAATTTGCTATATCATTTTTTTTAAAGTTATTTTTTGCATTATATGATAATTATTGATAAATATAAATGAAATATAAGAATTTTTTTATTTTTATATGTTTTTTTTAAAATTATATGTTGTTTAATAAAAACTTTGAAGTACTGTGTGATTAACTCAATTCCTCCAAGATCTCATATTTTGTAGTCTTTTTATAATATTCCTAAATTTTTTAAAAAAAAGTTTAATGTAAGTATAATAAATAAGATATTATAGTTATCATAATAAGTTATCGTAATAAAGTAAATTACAGTTATTCTTAATAATTAGGATAATAATAATTATATTGATTAGACTTATTCCAATTCCTTCGTAGATGAAAAATTCAATCTATTCTCTTTCAATTCTAAATTTTATTCAAATTTGAATTATCATGTTATGATAGACTAATAACAGATTAATGATCCTGCTAATAATTATTTTTTTTAGATAAAAAACACAGTTCTAATAATATATATATTTGATACATCTTAATTACAATTCCAATCTTTTGAAGAAATTGTTACAATTCTATCATTTGTAGTTACGAAATATTTTTTCCGCAATTTTATTTCAATTCTTTTTAATTCTTTCAATTTTTCTTAAACTTCTATAGTTATGATAAAGATAAAAAGCATGTCATTTACTTTATTATATAATACAGCGTCTTACACTTTTGCGTATGATATTTGAAGATTGAAGGATAATCTAAAGAAATAACAGATTTTGTAATATAAAATTTTTTATTGATATAAAATTATATTGATATAATTGGTTTATAATTGAGGAACAAATGCTTGTCTAAAGCAAATAACTATTTTTGAACTAAGTATGCTTTCCGACAACACTTTAAGCACTGCTTACAAATTTTTGTCTGTTTTTGCAATTTTTCATTTAAATTTGCTTTTAATCGATTATGTTTCTATTACTTATATTATGAGGATAGAAATTAGAAGATAGGAATTATAGATGGAAAAAATCTGGAAAGGTCGTGGAATAATATGACCTCATGAAGTCTCAAAAAAAAAAAAAAAAAAACAAAATGTTTTTCTAACAAACACCATTTATGACCTGTCAATCTACTTTTGACTCTTGGATATAATTAATAACATTAAATGCTTGAATCTTAAAATCTTGTCATCAAATTTCGAAAGTTTTACAATCTTCAAGAAAGAAGAGAAAAATATTATAAATAATATATTAAAGTTCCATTTTTTTTCAAAAAAACTCCTTATTACAATGATGTGCTGATGTGATATGTAATAGATACACAAACTATAAAATGATTTTAACAGTAATAAACCATTAATCTTCAGATTTGTCTAAGATTTCATTAAATTTGATGACGAACTTATTTGTATCAATATAATCAAATAAGTAATTATACTACCAAAAAACTGAAAGAGAGATTAAATTCTTAAGTGAATAATCAAATTATATATTATAAATATAAAATATATATTATAAACTCACTACTGTTGATAATCTGTTATTAAGGATATAACCACCAGCAGTAAATTTTAAAGGATGAAGAAGAAGTTGTAATGAAAATTGTTGCACCTGAAATTATTGTTGTTTATTGTTAATTTTTATCTTTTAAATGTTTTTACAATAATTTTAAAACTTTAAACAATAAATTCTAAATATAAAAGGATGAAAATTTTCACATATGTGCGATAACACTTAATTAATATTAAGTTATAAGCATTTTAAATTTGTCTTAAATAGAATGAAATAGCAATCCAGTAAAAGCATAGAAATGCGTGAGTATCGTATTGTATTATCATTGCAACAGAGCATTCCTTAAAAAAAAGCAATGAATTTATATCTTTTATGATGTAGGAAAATTTCAATGTTTATTAATAAAAATTATATCACGAGATATGTATCCATTAAAATGAGATGAAATGATTTATAAATTTTGTAAATTCACAGAATTATAAAGATCAAATTTCAATCAGGAAAATATGAACAACTAAATATTTACAGATTATATCATATAACTATCAAATCCACAACATTTATTTCATTTATTATAGATTTATATATAATAGATATCTATTTATAATAGATATCTACAAAATAAATTATGAAAAACTGATTTATAGAATGACTTTTTTTTTACAAGTTCCAACTTATAAAATGACTTTTTTTATAGAATAAATTTTTACAGAATGAATTTTTTACTTTATTATTTTTATTTTAGAATTTAAAATCTGTGTCAAATGTTGCATTCTATTGATAAAGTAGAAAACTTTTTGCTTACATGAAATATATTATAATATACATAATATAATTATAAAATATATTATAATATAAAAGACCATTATGAGATTTATAACGATGCTATTTTTATTAATTAGATAAGCAATTTCTAAAAATTATATTGTGTTGTATATCAGAGAACAAGTAAGTTTTATAATTAAGACATAAGAAAGCTATCGTTTGTGACTATGATTATTCCTTAAAAAATTTAGGATACTATTTATTGGAGAAAAGTCTACAATGATACAAAATTCAACATAAAACACTTTGATCAAATAATTGTTTAAAATTCAATCTTTAAATATTTTTAAATAAATTAATAAGCGATTCATGATTTTAGAATTCATAACGATATATATATCATAGAATTATATAGAATTTTTTAATTTTAGTTTTAATATATTTCATGAAAGTTTCTTTGTATCAATAGTATTAAAAAAATTTTTATAAAAAAATCTTTTCTTAAATTCTATAAAAAAAATTATTTTGTAAATGTAAAATTAATGAAAAAGAGATATTATTCTGTAAAAAAATATCTCTAATTTTATAAATAAAATGAATTTAAATGAATATAAAAGATTTTTTTCTAAGAAAGTTATATATATGAGATTTATAATTCTTTTAAGATTTTTATTCTTTGTAACTAATATTATGATATAATAAAAAAAACAATTTAATCTTGAAAATCATATTCAATGTCAAATTTATAATTATTTTTTTTAAATATTTTTATAATTTGAAAATCTAGTATTAAATAAAAAAAAGTAAAATCTTTTCCCAACACTATAAAAATAATTTCAACACTATACAAGCAGAAATACTCAATAATACAGTATCATAAATATTTTATGAATAATATCATAAAAATAAAATATTATTTATATATTAATTATTTATAAATCAAAGACTCAAAATCATGATTTTTAAGATATATTTCATATATTTATTATGAAAATTAATAAACAGAGAAAACATAGAAAATAATTCTATAAAATTTTTTTGACAAAAGTAAATCATAATAAATTTAAATTTAACCATTTCATAAATATAGACTCTACCTCTTCTGTAATGGAATTATCCAAGTAGCTAATATCTAGTTCTCGAAGCAAATATGCTGTTACTTCAACCTATAAAATTCCAATATTATATGTATATCAGTTTATTAAATCTTTTTTATATAGCATAAAAAAAATATAATCTTACCTTACGATAAAAATTAGTACAGTGATTATTTACAAGAATAATTTTTATAGAATGTACAAGAACCCATAATAAAAATCCTATAGTATTTGACCATGCTTCAGACAACTTTAATGACTTTATATGAAAATATATATTATAAAGTAAATACAATAATATTGAAAATTGCATTATTAAATCCAATAAAATTTGATAACTATACATTTGATTCAGTTCACGTGAAAGTTTAAAAATTTCAAAATGAATATGCCTTTAATAAATAAAAAAGAGAAGAAATAGATTAGATAGAAAATTATATTAATATTATTATTTATATTAAAATATTATAGGAGAAAAGGAAATAGTCCTATATATTTAAATATAAAATATAAGAATAATAATAAATAATCTATAAATTTTAATTTCTCTTTTAAACTGCAGATATAGAATTTTCTAATTCAACTGAACAAAACACATATTTCTTAAATAATTTAAAAAAAAATTAAAGAAGAAATTAATAAAGTAAAATTGTAAAACACAATACAATTAGAAAATGGTGGATAGTTTCAGACATAATTTTTAATCATCTTTCATGTATTTGCATATATTTAAAAACATTACAATAATATATAAATATAAACTTGATGTATTAATATTTGTATCATAATTTCATATGCCGAATCTTTCATAACATTTTTCTAAGATTTCTTGCAAAAAATACATTATATCTCATGATATTCTTTTTGATTAAAAAAAAAAGATTTTTATGTTTTATTTTTTTATGACTCGTTTTAATTTATAGCAACTTCTTTTTTTTATAAAAAGTTCATCTTCAGTTAGAAAAGTTGTTAAAATTATACTTTTTTATTACAATACAATACAATAAAATATTTTTTAAAAGTATTAGATAAAGATGATAATAATTTAATTGCATTGTTGTGTTGCTCATCAAGATTCAGCTTATCTATTGATTTAGAAAGGAATTCTATAAAAGCATTATGAAAAATAGTTTAAAAAAACTGGACTATTGAATTGCTATATCACAGAAATAATATGTCATAAATATACCACAGAAGTAGTAAGCAAAAATATTAGTTCAAAGATATAAGTCTAATTGACTTTATTCAATATTTTTATTATTAACTTATATAATATGAAAAAAATTTAATTAAATGTCAAAAAATATATTGAATCAATAATATATTGATAATAAATATTAATGAAATTTATCATTTTTAGTGAGAAAAAAATAGATTAGGAGAAATCGAAGCAGATTAAAACATTTTTGAAAAAAATATTGTATAAGAGAAACTAAATAATATTTTAATGATTATGATAATATTTAAATAATATTTTAATGATTTTTTTGCATAATTACATTCAATATTCTTTAATAAAACCAAGCATAAATTTTTTAAATTTAAACAAGAAATTTATTTAAAAAATGTTTTTTCATAAATAAAATATCCCACTTATAATTGTAGAAAATACGTGAAAAAACGAAATACTTTATTGCACAAATATTTTTATTCAAATGATTATATAATATTAATACATTATGTATGGCATAATTTGGAATATTTAACATTGAATATTTAACATTGAATTTCATTTGACTTCAAACATGAATATAAAGAATTGCAATAAACGCAAGCTGCATTTTCATTTTCGTTTACGTTCTTAATGTTTGTAACATTCTCAAAATTCATAACATTAACATTAATATACATATAACATAACAAAGATAATTAATATATAATTAAGATATAATATAATATCATAATTAAGATATTGAAAAAGTTAATAAAAAATTTTTTACTGCAAGTAATTGTTTGTAAATATCATATAGAATTATTATAATTTTTTTAAATGTGATATTATGAAATTTGGATAAAAATATGAATATTATATATATATATATATATATTATATATATTATATATTAATATTATATATAATTACATATATTTAATATAATATAATATAATGTAATAATTATAACTATATTTAGATAATATTATTTAATTATTTTTATTTTTATTGGTTTATTTTCATTAGTAATTTTTAATATATTTTTAATACATCATTAGATGAATTTATTTGACAACTTTTAAACTTCCGTTTAAACGATAATCTATTAAAATATAAAAATTTTTATCATTATTTATCTGCTGGAGAATATATATTATAGATTATGTAAGATTAAATTATTATAGATTAAATTATATACTAGAAATATATGTATAATACATATACCATAGTTCAAGATGCATCATCTTCCTTATATCTATAACTTATCAAAAATAGAATTTTAGCAATAATTTTAATAATATTTAATCTTGATCAAGACAACGAGAATTATACATATATATGTATACATATATATATAATATTGAATATATTTTTCATGTAATGACATTTCATAAAAATCAACACACACAATAAAAACCTTATACAAATAAAGTAAAAACTTACATATTTCAGCATGAAAAAATATTCCTTTAATAAAATAATTTCAGACTAATAAATTATGTTTGTTATGTTTATAATAAATTTGTTTAAAACAATTATATGTGATCTATACAGAACAAACTTTTTTTTTATTTTTGATGTTCAAACTTTCTTATGTTTCGATTTTGCTCAGTTTCTCTTATACTGTTTAATCTGCTTGGCATATTAACTATTAATTTTAGATAGAAAAAGTTTAGATAAAAATATTAGAAATTATTCTGTGTCTGAAACTATATACTAAATAATATAATAAAATTATATTTAATATAAAATTGTTATAAAATTTTTAAAACATATCTACCTTGTAACTTGAAGAAAATGTTGAACAAAATATTTTCTGTTATAATAATTCATTACAATAATAAATTTACATGCAACATGTGATTGTATCTCATATCTTACGTTAATATCACTTGTATTTGATAGTTGATGTACTTTTTTCATAATCTTGTTCATTTTATGCAACTTATCCTGTAAAATACTTGACAAAAATTCAAATAACATGATCTTGAAAGAAATACAATGCTGTAAATAATTATAAACGTTCATATTTTTATCATGTTGACAAAAATGAAACAAAAATTGAAATTTTCTATAATGTAATATGAAAAAAAAAAAATGAGGAAAGGAAATAAAAGAATAAAAACTTTTTTCTCGTAAAATTGAAAAAAAACAATGTCCTCTTAAAATTGTATTTTATATTGATAAAATATAAATTCAATGTATAATTTTAATATTTATATATTTAGTCAATTTTTTTTTATTTTTAAATATTTATGATCATAAATAATAGTAATTAAATAATTTACTCTTAAATTATCCATTTAGATCAATTAAATATTTTTTTGATTCATATATTCACATTGTGAATATATTCAATGCAAGTTTAAACTTTTCTCATAACAAATATCTCTAAAAATTATTTTAATTTATGTGTAAATTTTCTTTCCTAGTAGGATTCAATATAATAAAATTTTATAAAAGTTATGAGTTTAATTTTTTTCTATCCTCAAATTTTTCTTTTATTTATTGTTATCATTGTACAATAGTGACTGTAAATGACAAACCATTATATTTCACTAATTAGATAAGTATTTTATCTAAAAATAAAAAAATTTATTAACCAATATCATATATGTATCTTTTCTATAATCCTAATACTTTTTTTTTAATTGCAATATTTTCTTCATTGCATTCATAATATGGCAAGTTGATAGTAAATAGAGAAAACTAGTTTTAGGATAAATTCAAGTATTTGAGAGCTATATTATTAGCATTGTTACATCATATTTATTACGATTGACAATATAGTTATTTTTTATTTTTGAAAAAATTTATTTTTTGAAGTTTATTTATTAAGGCTCTAGGTAATTTTAATTAGATCATGCATATTGTTATAGAATCATAAATCACAAATATTATAAATTTTGAACTTGGCAACCGATGATAATCTATTAGATCTTAGATATCTTGATATATAGATTCTATTAGATAATCTTGATATATATTAATTAATCTTAATAGTACATTAATTAAAATTTTTATTCTCAAGAATTTCTGTTTCTCTTTTCTTGACATAACGTGCAAAGAAATGCAAGAATAAAACGGATAGAATATTTTAAAATGCCAATATTTTCCTTTTAAGTAATTTAAAATTTATATTTTGAAAATTTAGATACAGATTTAGATCATATTCATATTTCAAATTCATTGACAGTCAGTCTCTCGATCATAAAACAAAATACAACATAGAATATATTCATTTGGTCACAAGTACATTTTATATTATAAATATAATTCCAATTTTATAAGAAAAAAAATAGTTTTACTACGAAAAATCTGAATATCAGATATTTTTACAAAAGTTAAAATTACAATAATGTGACATTGAAATGAAATTGAAATCTATAAAAGAATATATTGAAAAATAAAGCATAAAGAAACAATTCAAAGAAACAATAAAAAAAAAATTTATAATTAGCAGAAGCCAGAAATTAATTATATTGTAAAAGTTAAAAAAATATATATAGAATATACATAAAAATATATATAGAATTCATTTTAATAGAAATAATAGAAGAAATAATTTAATTATCGATTATATTGTAATTATTTAATCACAAATAAATAAAAAAAATTAAATAAATACTAAATCTTCAAATATTAAAATTATACATTAACTTCATTCAGTCTGTGATATAATTTTAAAAGAATATTTTTCTTCTTTTCAAAATTTTTGTTTCTTATTTTCACATTAATAAGAATTATATATAAGTATTTTTTAATCTTTGGTTAATCTTAAAGTTGTACTCTTGTAAATGTTATAAAAATATAGATAAATTTATAATTATTTACAGTATTGTATATAAGAAAATTTGAAAAAAAATAAACAAAGTTAAAATTGTTTATGAAAATTGATATTTTTTAAATTTTTATCGATTATGGAATTAATTGTTGGTAATATTAATATAAATTATGAAAAATTAAAAAATATATCATTTTTAAAGAAACTTGATTTTAAATCCAAAAATATATCTATTCTTATTTAATTTTATTTAAGTTTTTCATTTTTTTTATATAATTTATAATTTTTTTTTTATAATTTACTTTACAAATACGGTAAAGGTAAAAATCCCCAAAAGCATAGTTATTGTTGGTACATATATAATAATAATTATAATAATAATATATAATAATAATTCGTGTTCATAGATATTAATGTACCAATTAAAATTTAACAAAATACTGTTTATTATTATTGTGCATATTATAATTAATTTTTGTGAGACTTGAAGAAAAATTTTTCGATAATTTTTTTCAATTCCAAATGATTGTAGAGTATTATCTATTTGTTCACATTTTATAATAATTTTTTTCGAACACTATAACATAAAAGAAAAAAAAGTGTAAGAAATGCAAAAATATTAGAAAAGTGAAAAAATTTATATTATAAAGATTTAATATATTCATAGATCATTTTTAGTCAAATAAATATAAAAATTAATATATAAAAATACTGAGATTTTATTATATTTAAGATTTCATTATATTAAGTAATAAGCAATTTAAATTTATGTTAAACTGAAATAAAAGAAAATTAAAATATAAATCTCAGATGAAATTTATCAAAACAATTATGCAGTAGGTATTTGTTATTAATTTGAATTTTGCGTATGAGCTACGTCATGTAGGCATTTTATTCCAATGCTTTATTGCTTTATTACAAGCTATTTATTAACTTCTTCAGCAATTAAATGTAAAATGTCACAATCATGTTTCTATTATATGACAGTTTTAATAAACTTATTATATCATTTATCATTTTTCAATTGATAATTTTATGACTTATAAAATATAAAATGACTTCTGAAAATAATAATATCAAAAAATGTTATTTTATTACGTTTAAATCTATGTATCTAAATTCTTTATATTATCTTTATTATTCTTTATATATTATCATTCATATGATATATAGCAAATGATTAGATTATTAGATTTATTTACAATTTTTTATGAAATGTAGTATCGATCATACTATGTTTAATAATAATAGCAAGTATTAATAATAAAACATATACTTTTAAAAATTTTTCATCGATAATGTTATAAATTATATTTCTAAAATTGATCCAAATGAATTATCGTGCTAATCTAATTGTAATAATATCTTTAGAACAAATATTTGGATGTTTAATTCGACAAATTATAAATGAAAATAAAAAAATACATATAAATTAGATAAATAATCATTTTTAAATTTAGTTTATCAATTTATCTTCTTTGTCAATATATATGAAATCTGTTCTAAAGTTATTTTAAGAATTAATAAAAATAGTAATGAACATTAAAATTAACAAAAATGATTGATATTAAAGCAAATATTATTCTATATAAAAACAAATGTTTTCTTTTAGTATTTTTAATTTGTTTAATTTCCTTATAATTGTGTTACTGTGTATTATTATAATTGTAGAAATACTCACTTCTGTATTCAAAATTCCAAGAATTATAAAAATCATGATGCATATAATATTAATATATGAAATCACTTTATAACTGATCTCTTCATATGCAAGCCAATTTTTGTGATTTATGCTTGTTATTCTATTCAGAAGTGTAGCATATAAAATGATACATATACCAGCATATATTATATTCCAGCCATATCGTAATCGTCCTTCTGATTCAAATATACGTAGAGCAAATATTTCATTGATGATAATGATATGTATTAACGAAGCGTATTGAGTTTTTGGTGTCCATGCTAAGATTTTTGTTTTAAATACCTCAATTGTATCTAAAAGCACAGTACATATTAAAATTCTAATAAACGAATCTATAACAAACAATAATTCTTAAAGATTTTTATAGTATATTATATAAATTTCCTGAAATAAATATTTATAAATTTCTCAAACAATTATAAAAACAATTCAATAAAAATATTCAATTCTACGTTTTTAAATTTCTATAATGAATTTTTCCTTTAAATTATATAAATTATAACACGGTATTTCTATAAATTAATATAGAAACAAGAAAATAAATTTTATGTAAAATATTTAATATTTGGTTTAATATTTGTAACTATCTTTGAGATTTCTTCAACAAAAATAATATGTGTTTTTTTTTCATTAGTATCGAAAAAAAAGATTGATTTTCTCACCCGCGATAATATTAGTAGTGGTTGAAAAATTATTAAATTCATGTTTACGTATAGAATGTTTTTTGACTGAAGTATATATTTGTACGTATAGAAATATGTGCATATAACCAATGATGTATATTCTTAATGATAAGTAAATTGTATTATTAGTGCGTACGCATATCTATATGAGAACTGGATTTTTCATAAAATCATAGTAGATTCATAATAGATTCATAGTAGATTCATAGTAGAATCATAGTAGATTCGATCATCGTGTCCGATCAGGATATGAACAAGAAAAACTATGTTTTGATCGTATACGGCAATCGAAGTATGACATATTCACAAGGAAATATTAATTAGACTTTCCTTATTATATTCTCAGAATCCTTTTCAAATTCAAATTGAGAGGATCACAGTGAGATACGATAATATCGCGATCGATATCTCATTTATGATACTCCCAAGTTAGAGAAAAATTTCTTGAAGAGTTGGAAATCAGTGACGCATAAAAATATAATGATGGTGATAACCAGAGTATTTATTATAGATTTCCTTGAACTAGGATGATGTTGGTTGCCGTTGAGTCAGCCATGTCTGGAGCATGTCATCCTTAAAAGCGTGTTGCACTCCAGCCAGACTAAAATATGTCAAAAATAATTGAAAATGTCTAATTTCTTCTCAAAAACGGCAATGATCTTACTAGGCCATTATCCTTTATTTAGGCTTAATAATAAGAAGGTTGACGATTGATAATAATTAGAGAATAGAAAAAAACTTCTATATGAAGAACTTTTCCAAATAAACTGGTTATAAATAAGTTCATGAACAGATTTATATATAAAAAAGAATTCGATATATATATTTATTTTGTTTACTTATCTTTCATAATCTTCCTAATTCTAATTCATTTAATAGTTATACTTCATATATTATATTTATTCTAATAATATATATTTACCATGATAAAAATTTATATTTATTTATTATAGTACTAATAACTATTTTTTATTAAGTCTTAACTTTTTTTTATTAATTATTAACTTTCCTTTTTACTTTTCTTATAAATTGCCACAAACAAACTATAAAATGAATAACTGTATCTACTTTTATATCGTTGTATAACCTTTCTCTCAATTTGTCATTAATGCGATTAAAGATAATTGTTGTATTATCTGGAATTATACATATTATTATACATATTTAACGTAATTTTTTTAGATTAATCAAAGATCATTTTGCATATTACTTATTTATTTTACTTATTTATCGATAAAGAAACAATGTAGAGACAATAAAATGTAGAATATAACTTTTTTTTTAAATAATTTTTTATATTAATCTAATTTTTTTAAATTAAATAATATAAATAAAAATATAATAATAATAATAATATAATAATTAAAATAAATAATAACAGTTGTATGCATTTTGCATTATCAATAATTAATGAGAATTATAATGCTTCTTTCTTTTTGATAAGATTTTGTTTTTTTAATCTATAAAGATTCGTATTTTCTATATGTTTCGATATTTTAATATTTGGATGATATTTTAAAAATAAATTATGATTTATAAAATATTTGCTGATTTTATTTCTAGTTTCCAAGATTTTGTTAGTCATTTTTCTAGTGCTATAAAACAATACCAATTTTATATTCGTAATATTTTATTTTTATATTTTCCTACTATTTTAACGTTCGATTTATTTATATGTCATAAGGTTATAAATTGTAAGTATAAATTGTTTATATGGGAATTGCTTAAACGCTTTTTCTTGATAACATTTTTATTTTATTTTATAAAATAATATTTTATTTTATTTTATAAATTTTATATTATATTTTAATATTATCTTTTATTTTATAAAAGATTTTTTCTTCATGAAAATTTTGTATAAAAATTTTATTTTATAAGGAAAACTGTGATTATTTATTAATATTATATATTTTTTTTTATATTTTGCATCTAGTTCACTTTTTTTATGAAAATAGATAAAACTAAGTATAATAATATTTTAGATTTGTAAAAATCGTACAAATGTTTAAATAACGAAGATTATACACATTTCAAGATAAATAACAAGATTAATTTCGTTGATCCAGAGAGGTATAAGGCATAAGGTATAGATACAAAATATAGATACTCATATAGAGCACATGAAGAGAAGTATTCAATATTACATGATAAGAAAATTGAATTCAACACTGTATTTAATTACTTAGCGGAATTTTTATTTTGTTGTAATTATGATAATCGCTTACTATTAACGTTTAATATTTTTTAATATAATAAAAGAAATATTAAAAATAGTACGAGAAAGATTCAAGTGGGAAAATATATAATAAATTTTAATATATATTATATTTATATTTATATTATTATCATTTACTAAAAACACTATATATTTATTAAATTATTTAATTCGTTAAATTTTAAGATATACAATTAAGATATGGACTGATTTTAAATATATCATATATAAATACTCTAATAGAAATTGTTAAGAACAGGATTTGTGAAGCGGTCAGATAACCTGGCTCTTATTTTCAACAATTCAAATAGCCTAATAATTTATGAGCGGGTATACTTTCCTAACATTTTCCAAATCCAATTTAAACAGAGATACCACAACAATGGACACTTCACAAATCACATCTTGCGATGGATCACCGTGGAGGCGCGCGCAATGATCTTGATCCTCAGGAGCTGTGACGCGACCTTGCGAGAACTCATTCTTCAAAACCGTTCTCCAACGCGACAATTGATCCCTCTAACTCCATCACAGTGTACATTTTCATGAAAAGTAAGACTTGGAAGAAAAATCAAGGTTTACGACAATCTTCTAGTTTAAAATAGAAGTAGAATACAAATCAGATAGAATTCAGTAACGATACAATTTACATTAAAATACAGTTAGAATCTTTATAGTTAGCCGCAAAGAGTTAAAGTATCATTCGTTCATTCAGCGCTCATAATAGAATTATTATATAATTTAGATTAGTTTAGATTATATAGTTCTACAGTAATAAGTGGTCTTTCGAGCAGTAGCATCAGTTTATACATCATATTTGTATAATATCAAAAATCGTTCAGCTTTTGAGTTAAATATAAATACTTAAATTTAATAAAGTTTTGTCTATTCTAACTGATAATATAATATACTAAATATTAATATATTTTATGCTTGTAACAAATTGATCATAATTTATTGATGAAAATAGGAATTCTGACATATATTATAAGATAATTAATACATATTTCAAAGATATCAAAATCGATGTGTCCTTTTTTCTATATAGTTACTATAAAAATTTTTCTTCAAATATTTGAGAACAAATAGAACCTCTATCTCATTCATTTATCAATTTGATGATCTCGAATAACTATTAATAATAATTATATAAACAAGTATAAATTATATATTATTAAAGTACTTCCTGAAAATTATAAGATAATACGAGGTCTATTACAAAAGACAATTACAAAAGATAATGAGCATTTCTATAAAGATATTTTGGAAGAAAACTTACTGGAAACAGTTGAGAAACATGTCACTACCAAACTATCATATTTCATTATGACAATAATCCAAACTATTGTGTAAAAAATTAATTAGGTTCAATCATTTCAAAATGATTTCAATCATTTAGAATGATCAAAGTTCAGACTTGAATCTTATAGAAAATATTTGAATATATTTAAAGATGAAGTTAAAAAATGAATATGATGGTATCTGCATCGATATTAACTAATAATATTATTTGATTATTTAATATTTGTAATATTCATATCAGAATATTGTGAAAATGTTGTATATCAAAACATTAAAACGTTATTAAAACGTTTATTAAAAGATTTGTGAACTAAATATTAATGATCTAGATAAGTTAACAATAAATTAATATCAACATTAAAAATTGCAATCCAATAGAATAATTTGTACTTATCAAAATAATAAAATTGTAAAATTGATTCTGATCAAAATTGAACATTAATTATAATACTTTGTTTTTATTATATTTTACATGCAAATATAATAATAAAAAATACAATAAAATGTTATATGTATAAATATATAAAAATAAAAATATTCTTTATGTTAAAATTCCATATGTATTCTTCTTATTTTGTGTTTATTGTATATATATATATAAATTTTTTGGAATAGATTTTTGTAAACATCTCAAATATTCTTATATAATATATAATATATATGTTATATATAAAATTATATAAAATATATAAAATTATATAATATATAATATATAATATATAATATATATAAATATTATATAATAATTTTAAAAATAATTAAAATTATACAATATCACATTTTTAAATTCATACAGAAAAATTATTTCGTAAATTACATAAATTAAAACACAATTTATCTCTATAAATTAATATCGAAACAAAAAAAAAATGAATGTGTTGATTATGAATGAATTTCTTCAATAAAAATAATATTTCTCCATCATTTTATTATCAAAAAAATTGTTTTTTTACATAATAAGAAATTTCATATGTATTTATTGATATTTACTTTTCATATTTTTCTTAATTGTGTTTATGTGTATAATTATATTTATTTACTTTAATAAAAAAATTTATTTCTTTTATTAATTATTTTTTTTATGTTCCTTTTAATTCATTCCTTT